GATTTGCAGAGCCAGGAATACAACCCAGCTCTCTGGAGTGCCAGCCTGGCACCATAATTCCAAACCGCACACTCTGGCTATTTTTTTAAGCTCATTAGGGACTGCATGTGGTGAGTGGGGGAACAGTTGCAGAATTTGGATGTGGGTTCTGATTCTAAACTCTGCCAAGTCCAGAGGCATCTGGAAGTTTGCTCCAACTCATCTCTGGAATAAATGAAAAAATTCAACAACCCATGACTGTTCAGATACTTTCTGTTTCCCCCGCTCTCTCTCTCTTACCTCTTGCTCCTTGAAAATAGTCCCCGGTGCTGATATCAGTGCTTTCTGGGATCAGATCTCTTTTGCCGAAACCTGAGCCTCATTTCAGCTCATCTTTGTTTATTTCCTCCACAACTGTCTTTATCACACTAGAGCACACTTTTCCAGGAAACCACGCTCATGCAGGCTTTGAACATATTGCATTTTTTTCAGCCACCTCCCAATTAATAGCTCAGCTCTATTTTCCTGGATTGTCTTTCCTAGGTTGGCTGATTATAAAGACATTTATGTGTAAATGCAGGCTTTCTTCCCGCTTTATCAACCTGATTCCTTCAGTGATGCCACAATCTACTGTTTGTGACATCACAATTCATCACCAATGAATGGATTACAGATGCTACCAGTGCTAGGCTGTCTTTAAATCAGACAGCAGCAGCAGGCTGATAACAAAGAAGAAAGCTGCTCTTTAAGCATAGACAGCTTGGTAATCACTAATGAGCCATAATGGGAAGGTAAATGCAGATAGAACACATTGCAAAGTTTGCCTTAGCAAAATGAAGGGTGTGAAGGTAAAATGACTTTGATGGGTTTAAAAAGAAATCCTTACTCCTGAAATGTCAACTGCTCGTGCACAGGCACTTTCTGCCATGATGTCTGCAAAGCTGGGGTAGAGACACAGAGGGGAAGCTATCTGTAGCGCACTAGGGGAGCTCAGCACTGCAGCTTTCTGCTCTCCTGAGATAATACAAGGGTATTCCTGAGGCTGCCTCTTTTCTCATGAATCTTCAGCCAGTCTGCCCTAAGAGGAATAAATACCCCTAGGAAAGACCACGCTATGCCTTACATTTGACTGTGTTTCATATATGGACCTAAAAATGCAGAGCAAAAACTAAACATAACCTCATAATAATGAATATACTTTCATTTGTTTAATTAGGGCCTGCTAATACCTGAATATTTCTATTTTTTTCTTTCTTCCTCTCTCTCTCCTTTTGAAGTGGTTTGTTTGGCTGCCTTTTCTTTCAGCCCTCTTGTCACATAGGTGCCTGAATGGCTGAGATAAAATGGAATAATATTTTAAGATGGGAGGGGAAGGAGGGAGAGGGAATATATGTAAATCATCCTGCTAGCTTTGTCATCCTTTGCTTAAACTCTCAAGCCTTCTCAATCAGGGAAGATAGAGCAATCCTTTCAGGCACCTGTACATTCAAATATTTCATGAGCAGAGGAGGCTGGCTAAGAGGTCCATGTTTGTGAAAAGGAGTTTGCCCTTGACCTCGGTGGAGTCAGCATTTCACCTCAGGACTTGCAAGGACAAAGACTGCATTTTTAGCAGGTCTGTTTACTTATGGTGTTTTAAACTCCTCCTCTTCCATAAGAAGACAGTGACAACAACTCAGCCTAACTCACTAGCATTCAACCTGTGGGAAAGGACTGCTTTTACTGTAAGCTGTTTAAGACACAGGCTGTCTGCTTTTTGACCTTTTAGGCCTCAATTTTTTTAAGCTTCTCTCTGCAAAAATGATGATTCGTAACCCACTTTTCAAAGTGAAACCTGAGATTTTCACAGGACTTCAGAACATCAGGAACATAGAGCTTTAATAAAAAGCAGTAGAAAGTGTCACACTTGTAGAAAATAAACCTGTGAGGCTTTAGCAGTGCTTTGTTCTTAGCCTCCTTTGTTCATCAGCTGGGTTCAGGCTAGGTAGAAAGATAAAAGATAGAGCAAGTGGCTGGGATTCAGGAGAGTTGGGTTGTATTTTCAGCTCAGGATTGCCGTGTGATTTTAGACGAGCCAGTTGAGTTGTTTTCCAGGTTTTCTTTGTAATCGTGAAGACTACACACTTGCTTTTTAAATGTAAAATGAGATTCTTCTCCAAAATGGCACTTTAAAAATAGCTCCAGATATCGTAGGACTCAGACAATATTGAGAGCTGGCAATGCCATACATGGTGATTCTGTACTATTGGCTACAGGGCAAGGATCTGATTGGCAGAGAATTGCATGACCACTCTAATACTCTCAACGTTCCTTGTAATGTCCTGACTCAAGTCATCTCACCGTGTCCCAGGATGCTTTGCACCTCTCCCGCCAGTTCCCTTCACAGGGCAGGCAGGCTAGCCTTGGCGTGCACTCTGGCTCCTCTGCTCCTGGGCTGTCACAGAGTCCAGGCAGCAAAGCCGCTGCTCCGCAGCCCTGCGTCCAACCAGCATCAGCCTGGAAGTATGGGGTGAAGGGGAACAGAGCCTCCTCCCCAGCCAGAACCACTGGGGTGGGGTGCATTGCAGGGGCTTTCTCCACTTCCCCACTAACAGCTCTGCCCCTGCCGGCTGTTAGAGGTAGGAGGAGAAAGGGGGAAGATGTGGGGGAAAGAGAGAGCCCCCTATTCCCTCCTTCCCCCCTGAGCTGGCAGGGGTCGATCTGTGGCACATATCCCTGCTAGGCCAGTCAGTGGAGGAGCAACAAAAGCCTCCACTGCATGTACCCCACCCCACCGTGGTTCTAGCTGGGTTGGGGGGACAGGGCAGGAGCAGGGCCTTGCTTTCCCTCCCTATCCCCCTGCTGCCAATATCTTGCAGGGTGGGGTGGGGGGTGCTGGGAAGAGATTTTCTGCTGGTCTACCCCTCCCTGTGGCTGACAGGAGCGGGTAGGGCATGTGCCCAGCAGGCGGTCAGGTGTGGCCTGCAAATTGACTGAGCTTGGCTGCCTTTGGTAATGTTTAGCATGCCGGGAGCTGTGCATCAGCACCTCTAGGCTGCTGCTGTGGGCCGGTTGAGACATCCCTGTGCTCCCCACCCCCCAATGGCAGAACATGTGTTCTGTTCTTTCCCAATGTATTTTTCACAGGTTAGAGAAACCAACAAAGGTTTGATCAATTGCACCTTGAACTTTTTGATTGCCTGTACTTAGCCAAGGGGTAGACATTTACTGAAAGAGCTTGATTCTCCTGTTATCCAGACTGGTGTAAATCACTCAGAAAGGTACTGAGGTGCCTAACTCCTGACTTCAATGGGAGCTTAGGAACCTCAGTAGGAGTTAGGTCCTTATCCATCTTTTTTATCTAGTTCTAATTTCAGTGAAGTCCAGTATAGTACAGCAATGTAATACGGGTGTAAGAGAGAGAGGAATCAGGTCCTCACATGGAGAATCAGCTGAAATTCTCCATCACATTAAAAATAAATGAAGAATATTTAATAATGTTCTGTATTCATATGGACATAGAAGTATTAAAAAAGGAAGTTTTCAGCAACATTTAGGGTTTAAAATCAACTCTTTCTTTAGGGATGGACTACAGGGGCATGCTCTATGGGAACATGTGAACATGTGTTTCTTTGCTAGAGACGGTTGTAACTCACATGTTTGTCTTATCCTGTCCAGTAGGTACAGCACTTCTTATTAAAATAGTGTAGAAGGGACAAACAATCATACTGAGGATATCAGAGCAGTGTCAGTTTTCCAATAGAGATGTGAAGATATTAGCAATATCTGTGGATATGAAATACATTATCTACTAGTGCCTGTTAAAACTAGCCAATTTATTTATATTCTTTATGGTTTTGATGTCTATTCCCTCGATTTATAGTAAACATCAGATCTAAAAGTAGTTGTATGCTTGACAACAAAAGTGATAAAGAAGCAATGGAGGGCAATGAAAATTGATAGAGGGAGAGAGTGATGAAAAGCAAAACAGCCATTATGGCCAACTGATGGGGGTAGAAAGTGAGAGAGAAAGAGAGATGGGCTGTTCCTAGTAATCTGGCTACCTTTAAGCCAGCCTTGCTCAGCAGCATGTAAACATCTGCTTACTTTATTTACTGTTGTGCTTGTTGGTAATGTCATTGCAGTTGAACAAAGCATCGTAAGTGTCTAGACGCTTGCATTTTCATTCAGGAGATCGAATTTTTATCACATTTCCCAGAAGAGGAGAAAAAAGAAGAGTCTTCTCAATGTATACAAAACAAAGGTAGCTGCTACAGTGAAGATTTAAACAATGATGCTGATTTCTAAATGAAGAAGTAACCTTCATTCAGGGAAAGCACACAAACAGGGACCCTGCTTGTCCAAACAGAGTAGGGGATCCAGAATTTTCAGTGCCAATGTGGCTAGTGTCCAGGGTGAGCAGGGCTATCGTTTTCATACAAGAGGGATTCAGATAAATGAGGTTTCTATTGAGGTTTATAAAGGACCTCCTATAGTTGTGGAATCTCTTCTCAATCTGCATTTACATTCCAGTTTTTTTAAAAAAAGGAAAGCCTAATAAACCCCCTTAATATCAAGGGGATGAACCCCTTTTTAGTGAAGAGCATTTTTTTGAGAGAGCTAAGCCCTCCTGAGCAGTATTCAGGGGATAACCATGTTGCAACCTCATGTTAATATGTAAAAATTGGCTTTGTAACAAATTGTAAACTAGGTATTTGGCATTCAGAAATTTTGTTAACTGTCACAGGGCACTAAGGTGCTTGCTCCTTTAAGAGCAGAAACTACCTAAGCAGAGGGCCCTAAGAGTCAGACAGAAACCCCACAGGTGCAGGTTTCTATGGCAGCAGGCTCACAAGGGAATTAGCCTGCACCTGCACCTGCACCTGGTCAGCTGACTGGAAGAAGGCAGGGCCCTGGACATATATAAACCCTAGGGCTGAGCCCAGGAGGGGTTAGTTCTCTGACAGAAGCCAGGGGAAGGAGCCTCCAGGGAGGAATTGCCCAGAGATGCTGTGGCTGCCTGATATGCTGCACTTAGGGCTAATGGGGCTCCAGGAGCTCACCAGGTACCCTGGCCTGCAAGGCACTTAGTGCTGGGCGGGAAGTTGGACTTGTTTAAAGGGACAGAGTACACCCTGAACTGCCTGTGTTATGTTATATCCCAGGGGCTCATATTTTAGTTGTTGTTTATAGACTGGTGGATTGGGCTGAGGCTATTGGGGAGGGTGGAGGCCTCATTGGGTGGGGCCAACTACAGTGTGGGGACCCCAATACCAGGGGGTGTGGTGACCAAAGGGGTGAGCAGAGTCCAGCACCTAGGGGCACAGAGACGGGGCTGCAGAGAGCCCAGCACCCAGGGGCACGGTGACAAAGGCAGTGAACAGACCCTAGCGCCAGGGGGTGCAGAGACAGGGCTGTGGAGAGCCCAGTGCCAGGGGTGTGGAAACAAAGGGGGTGAACAGACCCCTATGCCAGGGGGTGCAGAGACAGGGCTGCAGAGAGCCCAGCACCAGGGCACCTCCCTATACATAATAATTACCAGCAAGACATGGCAGGAAAGACAGAGGGTGCCTGTTGAGCAGGATTGGCATGGTCAAGGATCCCTAAGAGTATCACAGACATCCCTGGGGACTTAATGCTATGACAGTTACTCTCAGAGCTGTAAGCATTGTTAGTAAAACTGGAGAGGACAATGGAAGACACCATGCATTTTATTTTGAACTACTTGACTTAAGGTTGGGCATAGCCAGCTTAAAACTGAGGTGACTGGGGTTCATTCTCTGGGTGTGATATGGACTCCTGCATGAGACCTCGAGCAAGGTACTCAATGGATTTCTGCCTGTTACCTATCTCTGAAATGGGAGTAACTACTTTTTTTTCTATACTACTCCCTTTGAAGTGTAAGCTCTTTTAGGTAGAAACTGTCACTGGCCAGGCCAATACTAAGAACTTCTGGCAGCATGATAATATTGGTTAGGGAGCACACTTTTGGGATGATCTTGAATTTTAATGAAATAAATGTGTTGAAACTAAAAAGATCCACCCACCTTAGTAGGTTTTTGGCTGAGGAGCAGGAAGGAGAGGGAAATGCTTAAAATTGCTTACCAGGCTGGGACCTAATGTCTTACCTGCCAGGTTTCAGCTGAGAGCAAGTTCTTTTTTTTTCATACCAGTCGTAATAAGCTCCTGGAAATAGGGTTTTGTAATAGAAATGCTGACACAACCTTAGCAGCACCAGCGTGCAAATGCACTGCTATAATAAAGGTTCTCCTATCAAATGAGCAGGAGAGAGTGAGGTTATGAGCCAAAGAGAGAGTTGACTAGTATAGATCCTGGCCATAAAAGAACTCAAGTGTTATCAGGGTGTTTTGAACCAAGTATTTGAATTATTTTTTGGATGATTTGGCATGTTTATACCTGAACAAAATTAGTTTCTAGCCAGCTTGGACATTTAGAGTCACTTTTGAATCCACTTAAAAGCTTCATTAATATCTCCAATTACAGTCAGATGCAGTGCACTTGACCCCAGCTTGTAAGCATCACTAAACTAGGTTGAATGAATAACACTTCCCCCCCCCCCCCCCCCCCACAACACTTTCTTATTACCACCTAC